ATTTACAGGCTGGTATGTGTCTTACATAAGACATATTTGGACATGTTACCTTAAAACAAGTGCAGAGAGTGAATTTGCTCGTATCACTCAAAGGGAAACTCCTTTTTGGTACAGTTTGGCAAAGGGGGCATTGAGAAGTGATTTCATGTATGTACATGCATCAAGAGCAATTCTCTGTACTTTCTTTAGCAAAAAGGATCATTGTTTCTTAAGGCTAACAAGGATGGAAAATGCCATGGCTGCTGCAGCCTTCAGCTTTTGCAGACGTTCTTAAATAATTCCCCTGGCTTGCCAGTCTTTTCAGCATGAAGTGCCAATAGCTTGCTTCTATGGCTCCTGTGCACTCTTTTCAATGGCACCTTTGTCCCACAAAAGCAGTCTCTGACTTGTTTCTTTTTCTTTGCCTCGCCTTATCCTCATTCACACGTCACAAAAACATCAGATAGCTCTGTTGAACAAATCTTGCCTTTCAAGAGGAGTAGCAAGGGCAAGAAAACCAGGTCATTTTTAAGGCCTGAGCTTTATTAATTAAATGTGTCTGCCTGTGATAGGAAGGACTAGATTCAGTGACCCAGCTGGGACCCTTCTGGACCTGTGGTCTTAAGTTGAAGGAAAAACTTGGTTGTCAGAGCCAGGTACAGCATGAAGGGAGGTTAAAATGCACGGGCATGTTTTGTGGACTCTCCTCCACCTTGCTTGATAGTTGCATTCTATTACTCACTTGTCCTCCACCTTTTTAATCTCATTTGCTAAATTATCTCTTCCTGCATCTCTTCATTCTTTCCAGTTTGATGTTCATTAGACCAGTAATTACTCTTAATTCAGTGTTTATGAACTGCCACTGGTATTTATAAACCCTGGTGCCAGCAGTTAAACAGTTGTTCTTGGGTGCCCAAAAGAAAGTCAAAGCTGTTGACATAAGTAGGAGTCATGAACTCTGAATGTATTAAAATCCTGTACTGCAGCTTGCACACTGTTGTCAGTGGTGGGGAGGAGATACCCATTAGGCTTTCGCCCAGTTGGTTATTCACATGGCTTGTTTCGGGGAGGAGAATAGCTTTAAAGGCTGTTTTTTTCCCGCAGAAGCTGCAGCCATGCTGATGAGAAAAAATGGCGATTTACACCAGCTGGCAGTGGTGAAGTTCAGCCTCCTGGTAGTCATCTTGGCTCCCCAGTGCCTTGGCCACCCAAGTCTGCAAGCTGAGAAGAAATCACAAATGGAGAGGGAGACAAAAAAGGATGTATATGTGGACTGACATTAAAAAATAAGGGAATAATCACTAGATCATTCTCTAATTTAATTACCATCTTTAGTTAGGTTCTGCAAAAATGTAACCAAAAAATGCCCTTGAATTGCCCAACCTTTGAATTTGCCCACTGATACGTTTACGTTCCTCGCCTTTTGTTCTCACCATAATCACATATCACAGGACTTCATGATGTGCTCAGACATTGGCATCTGTTGGGGCAAACTGTGCCCAGTGGGCCGAATAATCCCTAGGTGCAAGAGGACAACCCCATTGGCACTTTCGTGGCTGCATACTGACAGGAGTATACAGAGTAGGATTTACCTCGCCGAGCAAAACCAAAAAGAAGGTAATTGAGAGTTTCCATCCTAGGAAATTCCTCTGGTAATCTAAAAACAACACCAAATATCATAGGAGTCTCAGTAATATCTTAAGAGCTGGCAATCTGCAATAATGATGAAACAACATGTCATATAAGAAACAAAAAAGTATGTAAGATTTTTCATATAGGTTTATACTATCCCTTTTTGTTAGTGTATTCATGCTTAAGTGATCAAAATTGCTGTATAGTAACTATATTACAGACTAAATTATGTAACAACTTTTGCGATTTCAAGTTGAGCTCAGGTTTAAATGTAAGAAAATTTCTGAGCTAGCTACTTAAAACTTTTGCTATAGTGCAAGTCAGATTAAGCCACAGTTAATACAAAGAATTGCATACATAGTTTCCTGTTACAATTCTAATTTTATTTACAAACATGAGCTTTTACAATAGCATCATGTATAGCAACATTTAAATAGCGGGCAGATACAAGCATGACTTCTTTAAGAAAAACTGAAGAAATAATGAAATAAGTAATAATAATCTCGTACTTGAAGTTACTTTTAAGAAGGAACATTAGGGAACAAGGCAGAAGTAGCACTTCTTTCTAAATAGCTTGCGGGAGCTAAATCAGCTGACTAGACAGTTCAGTTGCTCTTAAATCAAATACTAGATTATCCATAATGCTCAGGTGCACATTGAATACCATCATGTGTAGGTCATGGTTTTAAGAAGCACAGTCAGAATGGTGCTCATTCTACCTAAAGCAATTAAATGGTTTGAACAGTTTCTAAGTTGCTGTACATTTGTCTCATGCAGGTCATTGTTCAATGGTCTTTGATAAGCAAAAGGTATTTTCTTTACCATACATGCAGAAATGATGAGCAGTCCAAATGTAGCCAGTATTACCGAGGCACCTAAGCTGTGCTAGTAGAAGGCTAATAGAAGCTGTATTGTGCATCTGTAAATGCGCTGTGCTTCCAGAAAGGGTGGTTGCATCAGCTTACTGAACATATTTTAATAGTATTTTCTTTGTGAAGTTATTTAACATTAAAAAAGTGCAGCCAAAGAGTAGTTATAATCACTCACTGTTCTTTTACTCAGAGGTGGTTCACAGCTAAGACATAAATTAAAATTTAAGACCAGCTTTCCCTTGAACCATCACTCATTTGGGGAATGCTTTCTTTTCAAGAGCCCAGCTCTTGAAACACAGTAACGTAAGAAACATGGCAAAATGGGAAATTTAACTGTGACTTTCGGAGCTGCTCTCTAGCTGTAGGCCCACTGAACTGTTCATGATCTCTAAAGGGAGCCTTTGATATCTGTTGTCCAGGGCTGCGGTTAGCCAGAGTTGAGTAGGAATGAAAGCTACCTTTCCTGAAAAACGTGTCGCAAGACCCAGAAAGTGTCCTCTCTCTGACAGTGCAATACAGGAGAGCACAAGCTAACGAACTGCAACAGGTAGCTCTTTAAATAAGTAGTCTTGGATTCCCCTGTTTCACCTGACCAAACAAAATAAACACACTTGTAAACAAATCTCTTTGCCTATCTTTCCCCTTCCTTCTCCTCCCTTGCAGGGTCAGGCATCTCTCCAGTTTTGCTCTCTACTCCAGCTGCTTTCAGTGTCTCTCAGCACTTACTAATCCTACGTGATATTTCATGAATGAGGAAGAATGCCTCTTTCTCTACATCACCTCTGAAGTTTGTCTCTGGGTCTGTCTCCTGACACAAACAACCCCCAGTTCCCCTCGGGACTATCCCAGATCACACTTGTGCCCCCGTAGTCCCCCCTGCACGTCTGTCTCTTGGTTTCCTCCTCTGCCCATATGCGGGTTGTGCTTTCTTCCCTTTGGAGGGCAGCAGCCAGGATGAGAGGGAAGGCAGGTAGCCCTCCTTTCTGCTGCTCTCCTCTCCTTTCCTGTCTCTTTTTCGCTCAAAACATAACTCCGGTGGGTTGATCTTGGCTGGCTGCCAGATGTCCACCCAGCTGCTCTCGCATTCCACCTCCTCAGCAGGACAGGGAGGGAGATAAGGTGGAAGAGCTTATGGGTCAAGATAAAGACAGGGAGCTCACTTGCCAATTGCCATCCTGGGCAAAATGGGCTTGATGTGGGGAAAATTAATTTAATTTATAGCTAATTAAAAGTATATTAGGATGATGAGAACCACCACTCCCCAATCCCCTTTTCCTGGGCTCGACTTCACTCCTTTGTTCCCAGCTCCTCTATGTCGCCCTCCCAGAGCACTGCAGCAGGATGGGGCATGGGGGCTGTGGTCAGTCCGTAACAGCTCCTCTCTGCCACTTCTTCCTCCTTGCAGTTTTCCCCTGCTCCAGCGTGGGTCCCCCATGGGCTGCAATTCCTGTCAGGAGAGCTTGATCCACAGTGGTCTCTCCAGGGGCTGCAGGGGAATCTCTGCTCCACCATGGAGCATCTCCTCCCATCCTCCTCCTCTCACCTTGGTGTCTTCAGGGCTGTTTCTTACACTTTCTTCCTCACTCTGCCTGTGCGGCATTTTTTGCCCTTTTTTAAATACATTTTCCCCGAGGCGCCAGTGTCTTGGCTGAGGGCTCAGCTGTGCCCTATGGTGGGTCTGTTGAAGCCGGCTGGAAATGGCTGTGCCCAGCACAGGGCAGCCCTGTTGGCTCCCCACAGAGACTGCCCTGCAGCCCCCGCTGCCAGCGCCTTGACACTCTACCATTGCCATACAGGATGGATACTGTAAGCTGTGGATGGACAAATCAATCCTGTAATTCCTGATCTTCAGATGTTAGTAAGACCTGAGACTATTTGACTTTTCAAACAAATCTGACAAAGCCTACCTGACATCAGTCACCTGAAAGTTGATTTGCCTATGTGAAGTTACATGCAGCCGTTTTGTCACATGTAATTTGGAGGGAGGGCTCCTTCAGAGGAGGGGTTGCATTGAGTCAGAAATAGGACGACTGGGTTTTTTCAGGTGCCTAAATTTTAGTTGACTGGAGTGACATGGATCCAAGCCTGGTATCTCATGATGAACACTCAGAATCAAAGATTGTTCGTGAAATTTTGCCGTAAAATCTACACTCGAGTGTGCTGTGTTGTACAAAGCAGATGTAGCCCTTTCTCTTCACTTTCTGAAGACAGGCAGAGTGTGTAGCTTGAGAGTAAACTGAGTTTTGAACGGATATTACATGTGCAGTTTTATTTCAGGTCCGCCAGATGCATTGGTGTAGCCTGTGTGTGTCCGCACGCCTGCATGCCACTGGAAGTGCTTGCTCCTGGCTGTAGCACCGCGAGGTGACTTTGCCAGTCCGTCACCTGATTTGGGAAGCTCAGCGCAAGTGGTGCCACCCAGCCCAAGCAAGCGGATGTATTGTGTGCTCTGATGTTGTTCTTGGATGAGATTAATTTCAGTACGCTCATATTAATCCATTATATGTCTCTTTCCAGCACAAATGGACCCCCGAGGCCTATCTCCCAGACAAATTAAAAGTGACAGTGATGATGACGACCTGCCAAATGTGACCTTAGATAGCGTTAATGAAACTGGATCTACAGCGCTCTCCATAGCCAGAGCAGTACAAGAGTAAGTATCACATTCCCAGAGCGAGATGAGTGTTGCCGAGGTGTTCCCGGGCTGACAGAGGCACCAGCCCTCAGCAGCGTCACAGGGCTGTCCCCCCAGCTGTGGGACGTCATACCTGCCAGCATCTCTTCTGTGTAGCTTTGTTCCCTTCAGGGAGAGATGCCTGTATCTCTCATCTCTCTGGTTCTTTTTCTTCCTCTCTGCCCTCATTATTAGGTAATTTTCAAATGGAAATTGTTTATTCTCCTTTATTTATTTGCAAAGCTTGCAGTGTTTTTGTATCCTCTCCAAAGGCAGACCAGGTTAGACTTTCACTCCAAAAATACAAGTTGTTTTCTTGACTGAAAGCAGCATCAAGAAGTTCATTCTAGTTGCTGTCAAATAGGAACTACCTACATTTCTCCAGAAGGACAGTGTCATTGAAAGGAAATTAGTGAGGGGCTTTGAACAGTTTCTCCGTTGCTGTTATTTTTCTGTGTACTTTTACTCACTGGACAAACAAATAAGTTCTTAATTTAATGTCTGTATTGCTTGTTTGAAAAAAAAAAAAAACAGTTTATCATGAACACTAGCTGTCCAGTAGTTGATGAGCTTGCTCAGTCACTGTAGCAGCTGGAAGGGGACCAACTGTGAGGTAAATAAGTATTAATATCCCCATTTTATAGGTGAGGAAAATGAGGTTATGCATAAAGGTCACCCTGTAGGTCTGAAGCAGAGCTGGAAATAGAACTAGAGCCTCCAGGCACTGAAGCCTGTGCTAGACCCACAAAAAGCTTTACTTTATCTGAGAGGTTCAAAATACGGGCATTCTGGACATTATTAAATAGGAAGGGATATAGTAAAGGCCATTAGATGTTGTTATTATGTAATTTATTATAGATGCATTTTCAGTGTCTTAATGTGGTATCTAAAAGGACTTCGTTTTGCTTTGTTTTCCGGGCCATCAATAGCCAAAAGTGCTGATGTTTCTAAGCCGTGTTTGAGGAGGAACTACTTTTTTTGCGTTTTCACCAGACGTCTGCTAATTCGTCTTCTAGTCAAGCACAGTAACTGTGATCATCAAACCTATATTCCCCTTAAGCAGAGAGGGAGTTCTCTGTGAGCTAGGCAAGGCAAGTCGTTGGCTCTCACTGTAATTAGCATGCTCCCCTTCTGACAATGATAAAGGAAGGCAAGGTTTCTTCACCAGTGACACTATTGCCTGATAGACAGGCCTCACATGTATTTTGAATTTGCTAGTTACAAAACCAGGCCCTGAAGTGCGAAGGTGTTTTTTTTTTCTCAGTTTATAGCACACATAATAAGCCAGAAAAATAAAACAGCTTGTCATGACTTTGCACTAAAGAGTTCTGTCTAATTAATTGAAAGAGGAGGCATGGGGTGCTAGCAAATAACTTCTAATATATGACTGGCAGGCAGATACTGTTCTCTATGATTGATATTGCTTGAACACTTAGAGACTTGGTCAAACCAAGAAAAGCTTTTTTAGCTTTTCCACAGTGCATTCCACAGTTTGTGAAGGTAAATGTGTTGAATATTACTTGGCTGGCTCTGGAGCTTAAGAATTAAATTAAGAAATTTAATAATATAACATCAACTCATCCTTGTTACAGGTTTTATTTAAACAGTAATCTGTTAGTTTGTTTCAAAAGCCCCATTAGGAAAATCTAATTTGACTGTGATCTGCAATTTGTCATCTTCTTTACCTCATTCTCAGTCACAGACACCACACATACAGCTGCTGAGCTGAAAAGATGTTAGCACATTATGCCGACTTCACTCAATACATTTCTTTCTTGGTATATAATATAGTGCTTTACAGGCAGGCTGTATTCTGAATTTAGGCATCCAAGATGTACCTTAATATTAGACATTTAGCAAAGCAGTCAACTGAAAATAAAAGCCTGCATTCTACATACCCTTGTTGCAGAGAGGAAAGTGCCTTTGAAGCCTTCCAAAGGGAGATCCCGTGTGCTCAATTTCAGTGTCTAAACTTAGCAGACAGGAATTTCCTCTGAGGACGTGGAAAGGCACCTAGTGTGCTGCTGAATAACTGGGCAGCGTAGGGGCATGCACAGAAAGACTTCTTCAGTAGGCAGTAAAGAGTAGGTATAAGCTAAGTGCTTAAGTGAGGCAGGCTGGACCTCAGAGCCTAGAAGACAGTCCCACAGACTGTGTTCTTTCTTAAGTGAGCTTGTAAGCTTTCTTGTGAATAGTTCTACAGTTAACAACAAAAAATAACTTCTTGCGTATACTGGCTGGGAAGTAGAGCATGGCACCTCCAAAGGGCTGGCAGCATCCTTTCCTTCAGTACCAGATTGCTGATGTGCAGTTTTGTCTCTGTTAAACAAAATACCAAGCCTAGTTTATAGATGCTGGTGGCAGGTGTGAGACCACAGTTGACACTTTCCTAGTTGATTTTCAGACATGTTTTAAATTATCCTGCATAAGGATTATAAATATTATGTATATATATATTTGCCTATTGCCACCTATTCTCCAGAAGCAGAGACATTTCAAATACCTTGTGGTGCATATTTGCTTTGGGTCAGTCCTGTGCAGCCCCCACGCAGCATTATGCAATGTGTGGGGCTGTGGGGGATTGCCTTGGTGAGGCTCCTACATTCCCGGTGTGCTGTGCGAGGGGTTCAGGATTCATCTTGCCTAGTTAGACATCTGCAACGTAGGGATCTGCATCCAAAGTTCTCTCGCCTCCCTGCATACGAACCAGATAGCAGTTGGTGTGTCCAGGCGGTAGTTCTTTTGACCTATTCTAGCTGTCTAATTTAGGGAGAGAGAGAGAGACTCAAGCCCACGAGCTCCCGTTCCTCTCCCTTGACTGCAGGCGGTGCAGACAGCTGCCTGGGACACACATGTCAGCACTGCAGATCTCTGGCATGAGGTGAGGGTACAGCAATCCACGGCGCCTGGCTGGGGAGTCAGTGTGCCAGAAGCTGGGAGTGACAGGACGATCCTGAATGTTCCAGCATCTCCCCTTGAATCTAAATCTGCCAGGTGGGGTTAGTGATGCTAAGGTTTAACCACAAACTGAAGGAAATCAACTAGTCAGTGTTTGGGGAGGAATTGTTGTTTTAATGCAGTCATTTTTAAGCTTGTTGTCTTGGAAGTTACCCTTATATGGCTGGGTCACAGGACAGTTTGGAATGCCTGTATGAAAGCTTTGCTTTTTGCGTCCTGTAAAACTGGAAGGCATCTGCCTGTGTTGCTGCTTTGTTTCAGGTGCACTATAGTCTTACAAGAAAAAAATTCTTACTGGTAAAAATTGTGACGATCAGACACCGAGGGCCACATGTTTGACTTTAGTCCTTATTTACGCAAACAGAATGTAATTTGCTTGCATGTTTGTGAAATAACCAAGTATGACTATTTTTTCTCAGGGAAATTGCCTTCTTGCTGCTGGCTTTATATTGGCTGAGCTTCCAGACTTCTCAGTGGTTCTTTTGGAATGACTTCATAGTCCTCCTTCAGTTCAGCAAATCTGATCAATAATGTAAAGTTATAGATAAACAAAGTCATTATTTCAAGCAGGGTACTTGGGTGAAATTTCTTTATGTGACAGTGCTGCTTTATGGCAGTTGCTATGCCTTACCATAATATGGACTAAGAATAATTTATTAATCTCTGATAATATGCTCTGGCTGATAATAAATATTGCAGCAATATGTAGATTTCAGCAGGCTTTGCATTGTAAGCAGCATTTCATCCTTTTTGGAGCGTATTCTACAAACTCATTTTGACATGTAACTCTCTAACAAAGAGCAGATTTACCTCTATGCCCATTGTAAGCAGCATTTCATCCTTTTTGGAGCGTGTTCTACAAACTCATTTTGACATGTAACTCTAACAAAGAGCAGATTTACCTCTACGCCCGACACCACTGATGCTTATTACACAGCAAGAATAGCATCATATATTCAGGGTCAAATCTCAGATACGCTCTAGAAATCTTTATGAAGCCAAGGGAAGAGAAGGCATTAGTCAAGCCCTAGAAGCCCAGTAAAACTTTCTAAGGGCCCCCTCGGAGGCAGCATGCTGTTCCCTCAGCATGGCAACCCTTTCCGTCTGTAAGCAGTCCTGATGCAGCAGGGCTCAGGAGCCATCTCCATGGTACCTAGTAATGCAAACCCTGAACAGGGCATTCATCTCCTTTCCCTGCACACTTGCACAGTAAAATAGATTATTTTAGGGCATGCAGCTCTCTCTCCCTGAGCATGTACAACATAAGATCTCCTACTTGCAGCAGCTGAGGGCAGAGGGTGATTTTTAGCATAAACTTTTACTCAGTGTAATTGTAAAAATGCAAAGATCCAGAAATCCCTCCTTCTGTTTCTAGACTTTTTTCTCCTTAGGGGTCACAGGTGGAGGGAACCCCTTTGACAAGACCATTTTTTCTTTCAAATAATGTCAAGGAAAAGATGGACTGTGCATATAAACTGATGATGCTTAAAGTAGCTTCTTGTTTTTCTCTGGTAATGGAGAGACAGAAAATTCAGAGAGGAAATTCTGAACACTCGTAGTTATAGCTGCAGTTAATTCATAGAAATGTGATTTGTCATTTGGATGTGACTATGGTGACCTTTAGCATGAACTCTTCTTTGCACTGAGCTGGGTGTCACTGAGAGCGTGTATGAAAATGAGATTAGGGGCTATGACCCTACCCCTGTTCTCTTTGTCTACATTACATGATTGATACATGGATGCTAATGTGATTATCTTCTGTTGTTTTTAAATTCTGCTGGCTTTTATTATTGTAATAGTGTGGAACGTAGTTTTGGATACTGCACTAGTGAAAAAGAAATTCCACAGCGGACAGACAGCATATCCACAGTACCAGTGTACTCTCTTAAATTGCTATGTATTTTTCAAGTCTGAATTTTTCTCCTTAGATCTCTTTTTTCTCCCTCCTCTTCTTCAATGTAAATCAACTGTTGTGGTTGATTTTTATCTCTTTTGAGGTTTATAACTGTGTTCCCATCAGC